TCGGATCCCACATACAGACCGGTTCCCGCTCACTGGCTGAGCGAGGTGCGGGCGCGACACTGAGGGTTGCGATCCTGTTGCCGGTCCCCGGTACGGGTGCAACACTGAGGGTTGCGATCCGTTGCCGGACACGATAAAAGCCAAAAAAAAAAAAAAGAAGACCTCAAAATCCTTTAATTTCTAGGACCATAAGAAAGAGAAGTCCTACTACAAGAAGACAAAAACAAATTCTCTGTTTACATAAGGGGGCTCAAATCTCTCTGTGAAGAGGAAATAATTTTATTTCCTTTCAGATTTCAGGGAAGAAATCATGGGATTGATCATGGGAGATTGGTAAGGAAACTAGTGAAGATCTCAAGCAGGTGGGGTGAGGACAGGATACCACACAGCAAGGGGGCACACAAGGCTTTGAGGCACACCCCTCAATGAATAGTGGATAGAGTGCTACCACCCCTCACAATCAACCATTTGCATTAAATGCTCAGATTGAATTTATAACCACATGGATAGTTTACAGGTTTACATAATCCACAGTAGGCTACAGCATAAATGCTTTAATGTGAACTTTTGTGGGTTTTATTTTTCTTCACAGTGATGGGAAAGTTTGGGTGTGTGGAAGTAGAAAAAATTTATTTATCCTTAAAACTTATTTTGCCTCAGTAATCAAGGATCACATTTGGTTCAACAGGCTAGTAGCACATTTGTGGGAGCAGCAGGTGTGTGAATTTGTGGTGGCAACATGATTATACTTCTTCAGACCAACTGCTATTGACAACAGCACAAATAAGATTGAAATAAAATGGAGTTCTTTAGATCAGTTCATTGATGCATGTGAATTTCTCAAGAAAACTAAATATGTTGAATTAATTGCTATTTTGTGCAGTAGTCTTACTACTTTTATCCACAGATTTGGACAGAATAAAAATGAGAATTTTATAAACATATATAATAGAAATGTTTTGTCTTTTATGAAAACAGATCCTTTAAAATTCACAGTGATTCACCAGCATGCTCTGAGGATATGGTAAAAGGCAGCGAGATTTTTAGCATTCTGATGGGATTTCTATATTAGGATATTGCATTAGATCAAACCCATGTCCAGAAAAAAAAAGTCATATTTTATCTGGCGTGCATTACATAGAGATACTGGAGGAATGAGGTAGAATAGAAGTAATATTAGCATTGATATCAATGAGCAAAAGCAGAACAACTATAACATGCAGACATGCAAAGAGGAAGAAAGGAAAAAAAGTACTGAAGCACCACAGAGATAGATGCATTTGTTAAAAGAGATTCTCTAAGCATACTAACCTGCTGGTTCTAATGAATTTTCTACTTTGTCGTTAACATCGAAAACACGATCATGAACACCTATAGTTTTCATACAGCTATCTATAACAAAAATAGAGATAACAGCCAAATATGTTAGTGAAGACACCCTTAAACTCCCATTTCTTTTCTCTTTCTCTCTGTGTTTTCCTCTTATTTATGTAGAGATTGTTTTACAATCAATGGCATGTATCTGAATGCCAATATTGTTCCCATTTGCTGTGCACGTACAACAGTCTAAGAAACAACAAGTTAGCAACTGCTGTGTACTTAAATAAAAGCATCATGAAAAATGATGAGAAAAAATATAATGAAAACTAAAACATGGATGTTGATATACAAAACAGATACCACACAAGATTTAACAATAAAAAAATTTACCGCTGTGAACCAAACCACACAATAAAGCATGCGCAGTGAAGCCACCCTCTGAAGCTCATTCTATGAACTTACTTGTTGGTCTCACAAAGACTTTGAGCTTTAGACAGGACCTTCTTCCATTATCTGGGATTGCAGAGGCTGTGGATAAGACAGAGAGAGAGAGCAAGAGGGAAAGAAGAAAACAAGAACAGATTACTCTTGATTTTCACATACAAATAGTCTACAATAAATTTTTTCCTGAACAAAGAACTTTCTCCAATTCTTCCCGAAAGTTAAAACAAACACTACTTTTCAGATTGATCTAGACTGCTATAGAAAGGCTACTTTCATATCCCTATCTTCTCTTTTCAATATAATAAAGAATCAGCAAAAATGTGGGTAATATGTGAAAAAAAAAAACCCTTGGATTTTTATTTCAAAGGCTCTTCCATTTAACTTGATCTGTTATCAATTTTCTCTAAATTAAAAGGATAATGCTTGAGCCCTCTTGCTTTTATAGAGCTACTACACCTCTTCTACTGCAGGAAAAGGGGCCTGACAGAGACCCAAGGTGAAAGTGCTAGCAAAAACCAGTAACAGATAGTTACAAGGCAGACTTAAACATGACCTGTTTCTGCTGGGGAAAGCAGAGCTTTGTCTGTCCTGAAAGCTTGTCTGTCAGTGCTTTGCAGGTAATTCAATTAGAGGTTTTACTCAGAGCTTGGCTCCACATTCTATATGACTAAACCAAGCCCAGCAACTTCCATCATGCTATTATAAGTACAATATGCTATTGAGAAAGTACTGTGTTGTAATGGTACATTTATTTTTTTATATTTGCCACGGAGAAGGATGGAATTAATAAAGTGGGCTTACCAAAACATGACAACATGTTTCAAGTTATAAATCATTTGAGGAAGAAACTTTCTTTTCTCCAAGATAATAAGACTGTAAACTTTCCCTACGTTTGAAAGATTATCTCCCTTCAGTACTCACGACATAATGTCAAAGGGATTTCCAAGGGCGGTGAGACCCTTAACAACCGCATGTGTTTACAAATGCATTCTAGAAATGACAAAAATTACAGAAATGAGTGCTGCATATTTTCCTCCCTATGTGTTTGCTTCAAGTGGTTTCTTTGTTCAGAGAAAGCAGATGACATTAATCAAAACACACATGGCTTACAATTAGTTTGGTAATACCCAGAGTGACAAAGAGAGAACCAGCATTTGGTGTGCATTCTTTCCTTTATTTTTATTTTTTTAATCATTCCTCATGGGGAGTCCAGAAGACAAAAATGCTTATTTTGCAGGTGAGAGGAATCAAGATGGAAACTCCAAACTAATTTTACATGAATCTCCTTACGTAACTCCAGATTCATGTAACTATCCTGAAGGAGAACTTATAAATTTACCACCTAAAAGACACCGAGCAATAAAGGACCTCCCAGTGTCACTCTATTCAACACCTATTGAAAACTCTTTTAATTTTAAGATGAAAGTATAGAAGAAAGATGTTTTCGGCCCTCCCCATCTCCCCTGGTCGCTGTGACAAGCAGTTAAGAAGTGCTAACAGCTGGCTTTGCTGTAGGCTTTCATTAAATCAAAGTCAGAAAAACTCCCTCTACTATCCAATTCACATCCCTTTACTCAGTTTACTGCTGAAAATGTACATCTGGAGCCAGGAAGTTGGGAGCAGGGATATGGCACTATTAAAACAGGCACAACCTTCCATTTCGTTATCTTAATAGTTACTTTATAAATCAATCCATAGGGTCCCTCCCTCTAATGAGTGTCAGAGGACCAATCAAAACCTTGCAACACATAATGAAATACAAGGTGGGGGCCTGCTGGTTCTCTGTCTAGAGTGTCATGCTAATAAGGCCACGAGGGCCCCTTCCCTTCACTTTCTTCCATGACCTCAAACAGGGGCCCTAACTTCAGCCTTTCCTGAAAACCCATTCCCTTGGTCTCCTGGGGCTTAGGTGAGCACGGCTCAGCACTTTTCAGCCAATTTGGTACGTAAAGTGAACCATATTCAATGCCCCCAGATTAGTACCTCTAAAAACTGTATTCATATTTAGCATTGCAAATACAGACAGTTCTGACTTACAATTTTCTGACTTTATGATGGGTTTGTCAGGACGTAACCCGATAAGTTGAGAAGTATCTGTATATGTAATATTCACAGCACAATTCACTGCAGGTCTATCATTCAGACTTAGCAAGAGAACACTGGCATTGTGCTTGTGGCAGGCAGCTTCTGGCTTGGCTGTCAGTGGTCCTCACCTCCTTGTATGCAGGCCTTTGTGTAATCCCCTCCCGAGAGTGGGCTGAGCTTACTAACTTGCTTATAATAAGTAGAACACAGCAAAGTGATGGGAGTCACTTACGTACTTATGCTGTAAGCCTGCAGCTGCCTTCTTGCTAACACTCTCTCTTGCTCATGAAGCAAGGTGCCATTTTGTGAGATTCCCAATGGAGAGGCCCATGTGGCAAGGAACTTAGACAAACTTCCAACCAAGAGCATGCAAGGAACCAATGACCTGCAAGTAACTAAATCTGGCTAGCAATCGTATAAATGAGCTAGAAAGTGAATCCTTCTCAGTTGAGCCTTGAGATGACTGTTGCCTTGTGAGAGACCCAAAAGGACGCATAAGCTGCACCTGGATTCCTCATACGTGGATACTGTGAAATAAGAAATGTTGCTATTTTAGCCACAAAATTTTGAGGTTATTTGTTCGTCAAGAGCTAACTGATATAACGGAGTAAACAAACAAATCTGTGCAATGAAAGGCTTCTCAAGGTCGACTTTAGACTGAAGAGCCAAGACACTGCAGCCTCCTCTGCTCCTGGACAGCCATGGCCCTCCAAGAGCTAACTGATATAACGGAGTAAACAAACAAATCTGTGCAATGAAAGGCTTCTCAAGGCCGACTTTAGACTGAAGAGCCAAGACACTGCAGCCTCCTCTGCTCCTGGACAGCCATGGCCCTGCTCGCACAGCTGCTCATTCCTTATTCTGCTTCCAGCCCTAAACAACCGGGTCCTTTGCTAGTTTACATTTCAAGCTACCATAACAAGTCCACTTAAAATATGCCTTGAAGAGAGGTAATTATAAACTGCTGTTGAAGAAATACTACAAGACATATCTATTTGTTCTGACTCCAGCATTCAAAAACTGTTTTTCGTTTTCCTTCCCATGCAACTTTGTTTTTGCTAACGTTAGCCAACCCATGCTGCTCCTTGCAATTAGCACAATGTCTCAATTTAACTCCAAATTGCTGGGTGAACCTAAATGAGTTTCGATACAAAATATGAACTCAAATCATAACAGAGAATGCCTTTCCTCAAGAATGAGAAATAGAATGTAAAGGTGAGCTTTAAAAACACCTGAAATGTAAGGATTTTAAAATAAGTTAAAACTTCTCTTATTATCAAAACACTCCTATCAATTAACTTTTACACAGGCCATCAAATTAAATATAATCACTATAAGACTTCAAGCAACTCAGAAGTTCACCAACAATCAAGGTAACAAACATTCTTCATGAAGAACCAAAAGTTTAGCAGAAGAGGGTAAGACTCTCATCTTTCACATTTTCGGGCCCAGTAATATACTCATTAGTCAACTTTAACATTTCTGTCTAACCTTATTCAGCCTCAAACCTAAATTCCGAAAGCCAAAATCCTTCTCCTTTTCTGTGTTCCGTTTCAATGTGGGTACTTTGGGAAATTTTATTTTTAAGAATAGTCAGCCACTTTCTTCTTTTTAAAGAAATGAGTGTGTGTGGGAGCATTAAAAATGCAGTTTTCCATTATGTTTGCCACAGGCAATATTTCTCAATTTGTGCAAGTCAAAAGAAAAGATAGGCTATTAGTTGTTAGCAGGGCCCAGTTTTTCCCCCTGTAGGTTTTCTATGCGGTTTAACACACAACACAAATTTATGCAAATTAGGCAGGTGAAGACGGAATTAAGCATTAATATTCCTTTCACAATAAACGCTGAAAAAGTAAAGCCCATTTAAATACATGGTACTACTGGAAATGTCTCCTAGAATTTAATGAATCAATAAAATCCATTTTAAGTATAAGGGTGGAGGCTGGGGAACAGAACAAGTGGTGGAAATAGGATAGAGATTAACCAAAGCCATATGGACTTCTTGGAAAATGGTTACCAGACCTGTAAAAAAATTCTTTAAACAAAAGTAGGCGCCTCTTCTCAGGGAAGAATACTCCAGCAACAATGTGCAACTGGCCATCTGCTTCTTTTAAAAGCACCACAACACTTAATTATCATATTAAGAACAAAATCACCAGTTATGATGGGATACCTCTCACCATTCTACCTTATGAGATTTTAAAGTCACATGTTTTAATAACTTCCTCTTGGTCCCTGCTTTACCAAGCTTGGACCCTAAAAGCAACCACAGGAATTGGCTGCAGTGTGTCAAGACTTAAATCACTGGCAGGTTAAGGTCAAAGCCCCAGGTGGGAAAATTGGAAAGGAGGTTACTAAGTAAAGATGGAAGCCTTAGAGAAATTAAAAATATCATGTAAATATTAGATACTTTGATAAAGCTCTGGGGATGTTTCTTTTAAAAAACTAGAAAAGGAAGAGGGATGTGTTTCCCACAATATAACAAGGGTAGAAAAATTTCACAAGCTAAAACTTGGTTTTAACACCAGGGAACTATAACAGGGAATGAATAATTAGAGTAAAATTCAGGGCAAAGGACATAAAATAAATTCCAGCTGTGCAACTTCAGACAAAAGAGAAAATGGGAGGTACCACCCGTCCCACCCATTGCTCCTGCTCCCCAGTCTCTCTACCCCCTTAGGCAAAATTCTCGCTGCAAATGCTAATTGAAGTATTATTTTAATTGCAGCAGGTAAGTCTCAGTAAATCAATTACTTTTTCTTAGCAACCTCAAATAAATGGCTGATGATAAGTTTCTTTCCACTGATTTCTAGGAATAAACAAATAGGATACTGTAGACATTTATTTGAATTATGGGCAAACTTTCTTTTTTTTTGGGGGGGGGCAGCTGGCCAGTACAGGGTTACGAGCCCTTGACCATGGTATCACAAGGCTGTGTTCTAACCGACTGAGCTAACCGGCCAGCCTGTCACTTAATTTAAAAAGCTCAGTGACAACAA